GCGCAGAATGAATTCGTTTCTGGGTTTGGGAAGAGCCGAAGGATCATAGCTGTACGTAATTACCGGGTTCTTGTTTCGGTGGGATTTTAGAGTGTAGGTACAAGCTTAACACTCAGCATTTAGCTTGCTGTTTAGCATCACAAACCGACATAAACTCGTCCACTCCCCGCAAAGGAGCTGAGATCCCACATGGAAGCAGGAAGAAGTGGATGAATTCATTCTGAGTAGGAAGAAGGGGAGGATTTATGGGGAATAAGATCTTTTATCCCCTACAAAACTTGATTCTGAGAGCCCTGGAAGAGACATACATATCTCACCCAGAAAAAAAACTCGGCATCACGACCTTCGCGGCTCGAACCCGCACCCAAAAACGAGTATACACGGCAAGCCGAGTTTTAGCAACCGCTACAACCTCGAACTAAGGCCAATTACCAAAACTCGGCTCGGCCGCGATTGAGCACAGTCTCGTTTCTCTGCTAACGTTATTTCGGGGTGTTGCCTGCCGGTACTGCTTAACATTTTTACAATAAGCGCTGAGTAGCGTTAACCAGCGCCTTGCGGCTGGATGGCATGGTTGGGGTGGTGGGTGAAGAGCGAAGTGTGGTCGCGTGGTGCTGGTTAGCAGGTGACCAAATGCCGTTCTGGTGGCAAGAATTGAGGAACAAGATCTAGGAGTGAGAAAAAGGTGCTAGTGAGAAGTTCGAGGCAAGAACTGAAGACAGCAGCAAAGAGGAAGAAACAGCACAGCACTACAAAGAAAAGTAAATTAAAGCAAACTTGAGCTTATGAGTAAAAGTGAGGAAAAAGCAAAATCAAAGAATCGCAACCTACGAATAAAAGCAAAAAAACTACGCTGCGTGAGTGGAAATTGTTTTACAAAATCTCTTTGTCAACAGAGGACTTTCCTGTTTATGAAGCTGATGCTTAGGTGAAGCTGAGGAGGAATAGGTTCGATTGAATTTCTACAAAAACACCAGACAGTTTCAATGTTTTGCACAGGGCAACATGCGACTGTGCACAACACCTACTTTTTTATGCATTTTGCACTGTATAACAGCAATACAAAACGTTGTGTGTGTGTGTGTGTGTGTATGTGTGTATGTCCTACATTTTGTCCCGCACTTTCAACTTGGGAACCACAAAAGCTAGGCGGCTAAAATTTTAGTATATTGTTCCCCGCCAACGTGTGATGCAGCAAACTTAAATCCAGTCTCCCCGTACCCGCGGGCAACACGTACGGCCTCGTGAGATTTTTGGCGGGTAAAATTGTTATCTCGAGAACCACGGGAGTTAGGAAGCTGAAATTTTATGGGTATGTCCCCCGGCCACGTGCGAACCAGAAAACTCAAATTCAACCTTCGCTTGTCCGCAGGTAACATGTACGGCCTCGTAAATTTTCGGCAGGTAAAATCATTATCTTGTAAACCGGGGAAGTTAGGAAATTAAAATTTTGTGTTGTATGTCCCCTCCCAGTAGGATCCAGAAATTTTAAATTCAACCTTCCCTTGCCTGCGGGTAACATATACGGACTCGTAAAAGTCTTGGCGGGTAAAATCATTATTTCAGGAACCACGGAGGCTAGGGAGCTGAAATTTTTTGGATATGCCGCTTGACCACATGCGACCCAGAAAATCAAAATTTCTCGTGCGCTTAGGTATCGCGTACGGTCTTGCGGCGGAAAATTGCCTCGGGGACTATGAAAGTTAGGAAGCTTTTTTTCTGGACAAAACTTTCTGCCGTTGCAAGTATCTCACAAACAAAAATTTAGTTCCCAAGTATGCAGAGATATTACGCAAGGTTAAGTGAGAATTCTGATGTGAAAGTCACTAGCTCGGAACCTGTAAAACTAGAAAGCTAAAATTTATAAGGATATTCCTCATCCACGTTTTCAAAATCCAGTCCTCACGTACCGGCACGTGAAATTTTCAGTGGGAAATTCCTCACCTTAGGAGCCAGACAGCACAACCACTACTTTTTCATATACGAAAGTGTAAAACAGTTATATTTTTAGTAAGCAAACGTCCTCTGGACGGAACTGCGCAAAACGTATGATCGCACCGGCTACCCTGGTGCGCTTAGCTATTTATTGTTTTTTGCCTCAAGAATCTCACGGAAGCAAAGGCTGGCTCCATCCACATGCATCCAGTCTCCTCTTTTTGCTCAGTTTACACCCACAATCGAAATTGTTCGCTTTCAGCTTCACCTAAGCATGAGCTTCATAAACAGGGAAGTTCCGTACTGAACACGGGTTTTTATAGGACATTTTCCACTCGCATAGGTTCAGTTTTTTCTGCATTTGCTTTTTTTTGTTTTATCCATATACTTAGGTTTGTTTTAATTTGCTCTTTTTTATAGTGCTATTTTGCCTTTCCTTGTACTGCTCTCTCGAGCTTCTGACTTGTATCTTTGTTCCCTTTCTCTACTCCGTTCCCAAATCCTGCTTGCAAAGCAATATCTGAAATCCTCTCTATCCCACTGTAAGAGCACTCTGGCAGCAAGCAATATTTCACCGCTTTCCCTACCCCGAGTATCTGCGACAAAAACCAGCAACACGCTTTATCCTCCCTCTTCCCTTCCCTTCCATCCTCAAAATGTAGGTGACCTAGCCAACCGACAAAATATCTACGCCATATACTCATTAAATCCACCTATCCCAGCCTCTCTCCCTTGTCTCGAACATAATCCGCAACATATCAACATGCTCCCTCCTGCCTCAGTCGAATTCCCGTCACTCCCCGTGGGTAACTCTACCCGCTATCACCAAAAAGATTTTTCGCAATTCGTGTACGATGCTGGTCAAGCCGAGCCGAGCTGAATTTTGTTAATTGCCCGGTCGATTTATAAAGATAACTAACTGTAGGTGTTTCTCCGAGACAACAGTTTGTTAAGGGATGAGGCGTTCGTGCGTGGTACTGCTACAGACTATGCGGGCAGTGACGATGCAGGCGCGGGCGCCAAATTGCTCACGCAGGTAAGTATTTCGGTCCTCTTATTCCCCATCCCGAAAGATCCTCAAGGGCATTCCTGTCCCTGTTAGAACAGCCGGGATTCATGAGCGGCGTGCAGGATATCATTACAGCCATGCGAGAAAGGAGCATCGATGGGCAGGACATGTTGCTCGCCTTACTGACAACCAGTTGGTTTGTCGCATCTGAGTGTGTCACTACTGAGAAAGTAATGATTATTCGTGTGAGGGGAGGGGAGCGGTGTACATGAGTAATATAAGCGTGGTGTATAAATTGCTTTATAATCCAACCAGTACCGTGGGAATGTGCCGCATTTATTGCAGTTTTGATAGATATTGCGAGTATGGGGCCAAGTCAGGGGCAAATCCAAGGTGGCCCAGAGGAGGAGGGAGAGGGCGAGCAACGGGGGAGGAGTTCATTGTTTCCTTCTTCTCCTGATATTTTCTTTTCAACCTTTAATGGTATGTCTGGCGGTGGGGCGATGACCG